TGCTTTCTTTTTTTTTTTTTTTTTGAGGCTTTACACGAGAGATAAATCAATGTTGATTTGAGCTTCTTCATGTAGACATTTTTTTTTTAGTTCCACCACATGATTGCTTAAAGGCACACCACTAAAAATACGCTGCCACATCACAGACGCTGCAGACCACGTGTAAACACTTCAACTGTCCTATCTCAGCCCTATATAAGAGCTCTCATTGGTCCATCAAGGAAATTGGCACAAAGTAAGCTTCCCATTACCTTTCCCTCTTTGAAAAGAGATGCCCGCGCTTTTCTTCACACCCATTCCTCCATGACCAGCTACATGATCTTGGAGCAGTAACAACCATGATGCGTATAAACTTGACATGTCATTTCATTATCAAATTCCATAAAGCAATTTAAGATTCTTCCTGGGTGGCATCTAAAGGAGGCAATCCATCCATCCTATATGTAAGTCTTCATTCAGTCTAGGTTTTATATTATTTAAAAGGCCTTACACAGCTGGGGGCTACTGGCTCCCACCTATAATCCTAGCTACAGGAGAAGATGAGATCTGAGGGTGGAGGTTCACAACCAGACTGAGTAGGTAAATCAGAACGACTTTTATCTCCAATTATCCAGTTAAAAAAAAAAGCCAGAAGTGGAGCTGTGTCTAAAGTGGTAGAGTGCCAGCTTTGAGCACAAAAGATAAGGGACAGTGTGCCTAGGCTGTGAGTTCAAGTCCCAGTACTGACACAAAAATATTTTTAAATTAAAAAAAATCAATAAACTGCCTTGCTTACTCACAGGAATAATTAATTTATATTCCTTTTAACCTTTAGGACAAAGAAAGGCAGTAACAATAAAGGAGACCCTTCATGGAAACTCGCTGGAAACATGTCTAGCCTCCCAGATACACTATTCCACTTAGCTTTCATATCACTGAAGCAAAGCAGGTCTTACCCCCTCTTACTCATGAGCAACCTGAAGCACGCTTTGTAAGCATTCACAATAAGATACATACATTCACACATTCAATGCACACTCAATAGTCATCAGTTGCCCTTGACGAGGACTTGACATTGACCTACAAAATGGGGCCAATAATAGCATTTGAAACAAGGTATAGAAAACAGTTCTGCAGCATTAGGGCCATTGAATGGAAACAGTAATAATGCACTCATGGAAGAATATAATGGTGAGACGCTGCCTCATGAGTGACCTTGATACAGTCAGAACTATCTGTGCAGATTATGCTGGGGAAAACTGTGGGACTTCAAGTAGAAGTGGTATGAACCACTCCCACATTTGCCCCCCCAATATCTTCACTCTTAAACAGTACCACATGTGACTCACTGTCTTGTCCTGTGAGCTCAGGCACAGGACGGTCCCCAGCAATACTTCTTTGTGGTTTGTCCCTTTTGTCACATGTATCTCTCCTTACCTCCTACTTATCAAACTCAGCTACAATCCTTGCAATTTCAACCAAGTATCAAGTTCAATCATGTCCCTGAACTTTGACTTCTATTCTTTTACCCCTATCATGGCCTCCAGGATTATAGCCAACTCCAGAAATCCTTCCAAGTCAAACCATTTTGTCACCACCTACGAGTGGGTTATACTTTTCACTCTGCTCAAATCTGGCAAACCTGGCAGTCTCTACATTTCTAGTCTTCACAACTAAGACCACCAGGTGCATTTAAGGAGAACTCTTCTTAGAACCCTCAAAACAAGTCATTTACAAGAGAAAAAAAAATCAAAGGAAAGAATCAAGGAAAGGTAGGAGAAACAAACTCAGACTTAAGATCCAAACATATGACATCTCCTGTAAAAGTCCTCTTAAAATATTTATGAACATAATGTCCTTCCTCTACTAGACTGAGAGATCCTCACCACCCCAGCAGCCATTCCTGATTTATCACTGAAAGTTATTTTTATATGCAACACGGTACCAGATACATCTAACCAAGGAGTACCTTGCTGCCCTATTTATTTGCATGTTTATTATTGTGCATATAATATTGTGCATATGGGGCTGGGAAGGTGGCTCAGTGGTAGAGCGCTTGCCTTGTATGCCTGAGGCCCTGAATTCAATTCCTCAGCACCACATAAGCAAAAAGAAAAAAGCCGGAAGTGGCGCCGTGGCTCAAGTGGTAGAGCGCTAGCCTTGAGCTGAAGAGCTGAGGGACAGCGCCCAGGCCCAGAGTTCAGGTCCCACAACCGGACCCAAAAAAAAAAAAAATATTGTGCATATTAATTTATATAAATGAAACTAAGTTTGGCACTGAGGAAAAAACTTTTATATGCAGAAAGGAATCAGGAACTTTCTGTAGGCTTAAATCAGTTACCTTTGATAGCAAAAGCACTAGTGGCAGTTCCACACAATATTGCAAAAATACATACACACAGACATTTCTTATACATTGTAAATTATCCATTAAATGACTAAAGCTATTACTCTCACCATAGCAAACCATGTCTAGAGATGTATTCACAATTATGTCTAAAGAGTCATGTTCTAGCTTTAACTTTTGTTGTTGTTGGTGGTGGTCATGAGTCTTGAATTCAGGGCCTGGGCGCTGTCCCTGAGCTCTTTTGCTCAAGTTGTATGCTCTACCACTTTGTGTCACAGCGCCACTTCCAGTTTTCTGGTGGTTAATTGGAGATAAGAGTCTTACAGGCTTTCCTGCCTGGGCTAGCTTTGAACTGTGATCCTTAGATCTTAGCCTCCTGAGGAGCTAGGACTACACGCTTGAGGATTACAAGCGCCAGGCCTACCTGTAATTTTTTTCAACAATGTTGTGTGCTAAGAGCCTTATTAGAAAATAAATCAATTACTCACCACTCAAACTCAGTGTCATTCAGCAACCATGAAATCCTTACTTTCTTTATCCTACTTTTGATTCAGAATGTCAGGTTTTTGTCCAGTGGCAAATTTTTACCTTCTTAGTTTTTATATGAGTGCTGTCTCAATTTTTTGAGTGTGAGACCAAACTTATAACCATACCAATGATAACACTATTGAAGTTTTCAAGAAAAACAAAAAGGGGCTGGGAAGGTGGCTCAGTGGTAGAGCGCTTGCCTTGCATGCCTGAGGCCCTGGGTTCAATTCCTCAGCACCACATAAGCAAAAAGAAAAAAGCCGGAAGTGGTGCTATGGCTCACGTGGTAGAGTGCTAGCCTTGGGCTGAAGAGCTGAGGGACAGCGCCCAGGCCCAGAGTTCTGGCCCCATGACGGACCCAAAAAAAAAGGCTTTAGCCATCTGTTTAAATTCTTGTGGATGAACCACTTGATATTAAATTAGCTGGTATTATTTCAACATTTCTCCAAAACATACCTAAATATCATGATAAAACATTTCTGGGTAATTTAGTATATGAATAAAGTAGCAGAGAGAAAATTTAGATAGAAGAGTATTTGCAATGTTATCCGAAGGAGAGGTTTCCAAATTTGAGCTCATAATACAAAGTAAGTCACTTTCTTTTCCTTTCAAAGATAAAAGCAGCTGGACATAGTTAGCTCATTCCTGTAATCCTAGCTACTGAGGAGGCTGAGATCTGAGGACTGGGGTTCAAACCAGCTCTGGCAGACTCTTATCTCCAGTTCACCACGCAAAAACCAGAAGAGGAGCTGTGGCTCAACATGCTAGACCACTAGCTTGAGCACAGGGACAGCACCCAGGCTGCGTTCAAGCCCCACCACATACAAAGAAAGAAAGAAAGAAAAAGAAAGAAAGAAAGAAAGAAAGAAAGAAAGAAAGAAAGAAAGAAAGAAAGAAAGAAAGAAAGAAAGAAAGAAAGAAAGAGAGAAAGAGAGAAAGAGAGAAAGAGAGAAAGAGAGAAAGAGAGAAAGAGAAAGAAAGAAAGAAAGAGAAAGGAAGGAAGGAAGGAAGGAAGGAAGGAAGGAAGGAAGGAAGGAAGGAAGGAAGGAAGGAAGGAAGAAAGAAAGGTACCACAACCAACATAACAACAAGAAAACTAAGAAAAAAGAGTCGGGCACCTGTAATCCTAGCTACTCAAGAAGCTAAGATCTGAGGATCATGGTTCAAAGCTAGCCCAGGTGACAAGAGTCTTCCATGAGACTTTTCTGTCCAATTAACCACCAAAAAGCTAAAGTGGAGTTGTGGCTCAAGTGGTAAAGCACTAACCCTGAGCATAAAAGCTCACAAGAAGTGCTCATCTCCTGAGTTCAAGCCCCAGGATTGGCACCAAAAAAAAGAAAAAAAAATGACAACAAAAAATGTTGCCTGGCCTACATCTATAATCCTAGCAACTCAGGAGGGTGAGATCTCAGGATCGTAGTTCAAAGTCAGCCCTGGCAGGAAAGTCTCTGATACTCTCTTATCTTCAATTAAGCACCAGAAAACCAGAAGTGGTGCAGTGGCTCAAAGTGGTAGAGCGCTGGCCTTGAGCGAGAAAACTCAGGGACAGCACCCAGAACTGACAAAAAAGAAAAAAAGAAAAGAAAAAGAAAAATGTTGTCAACAAGCTAATAATATTTCATGCCTTTAAAGTATAAGTTCAGAGACAAATTGCAACCGTAAAGATTATACAGCATTACTGATGTTTAAGTGGTTTTTTTTTTTTTACTTCTACAGTGATATCCACGAATGTTTTTCTAAGTGCTGATGAAATCATGTCCAGATCTGCCACGCTTCTGACTACACTCTACTTGACCATAGGCAAAGAAAGCATGAATCCTTTTAGTAGGTATTATTTTAACTCCTGATTTAAAACTACGAAGCCAAATGACTCAAAAATTAATACACTCTTCAATGAATAACATGCCTAGCAACGCTCTCTCCTAAACTTGATGGCATTTAGATTGTGAAATGAAATTCGACCTCTTCCACTTCCTTCAATTACCCTTGGCCAGTCTCAGTAAAGCTCATCAAAGCGATCCATGCAAACCTAAGACTCCATTCTGTCCTTAAAAGCCCCACTCAGGCAGGAATGTGCACCATGCTGCAGCATCTCTGCAGTTGAACTTGGGAATAGGCTTTCCAGAACTGCAGGCAGAGCCCTTACCGCATTCCTTCTGAACCTCATCTTGCCTCTCGGGGGATTCGCTTCTGCCATCTTTTACACTCTTCTTTTCCAATTGTCAATGGCTCACTGATGAAATATGAGCTGCTTCTTGGGTGGTATTTAAAAACGGCAGCCAAAAATCTCCACCAAACAAAGCTAGCGTAGCTGCTTCCATTACCACTGCTGCAGCGGCGCCGCCGCACAAAAATCCACTATCCCTGATTAGTCAGCTGACAGCTCCTTTCCTGCTGCTCATTGTAATTCAGAGTTGACACATTCCCCAACTACTTAGCCTGATTGAACCTGGTGGATTAGCTGGGGCTGGACGGCTCCCGAAGATCAGGCATTCCCACTAAGTGTGAAGGAAAAAAAATAAAATCCACTCCCCCTCCAAAGAACAATCTGGATGGGACTGGTTTTTCTCTACTGCGCAGTTGGATTTTTAAGGTGGAATGCTAAGAATCTTTGTGAAGGTAGTATTAACTGAGATCTTTTCCTTTGATCTTCCCCAGGACTGTGACTTATAATTTTAAATTCTTTATTTTTTTTCACACTTCATGCTGGATCTCAGCCTGAGGAAAGGCTTGCTTATTTGTCCTGATAATCATCTAAAACAGAACAGAACACGCAAACTTTCTAATGGCCATGAGTTTCTCTGAAACTAACCACCCCCCCACCCGGCCTGCCCCAAATAGCTCCAAGAGATCATTTTGAATCGCTTCACCTCAAAGACATGATAAAGGTTTAAGATGATACATTTGGTAGCCTTGCTTTGACCATATATGGCCTCATTAATATGTATAATATTATGCCAAGAAATATTTTTTCAACTATCTTGTTAATTACGAAGTATGACCTAACTGCTGCTATTTATTTGGGAATTTGGAAATTACAATCGAAGTGAATTGTGTGATAACCTAACATATACTTATTTAAAATAATATACTGGACATGATGGTATATGCTTGTAATCTCAGCACTTAGGAAGCAGAAGCAAAACAATAACACATTCAAAGCCAGCCTGAACTACGTAGTAAGAGATTGGCTCAAAAAAACAGAGGCTGGCCAGGCATGGTAGCTGACACCTGTAAACCCAGCTATTGGGTATGTAAAGATCAGAATGACTGCAGTTCAAGGACAGCATAGACAAAAAGTTAACATCCCAACTTAGCCAACAGTCTTAGCATGATAATCCCAGATACATGGGTGGCACAGGAAGAACCATGTTTTAAGACCAGCCCTGTGCAAAGATACAAAAGCAAGGCTAAGTGATAAAGTTTCCACCTAGGAAGACAGAGGTCCTAAGTTCAAATTCTTGTACTGACCACTATGGCCAAGAGAGTTCAGTTGTAAAGAACAAGGTTCTGGGCTCAATTCCCTAGGAACACAAAAAGGAAGGGAAAGAAGAAGGGAGAGGGAGCGCAAAGGGTGAATAGATAGATGGATGGAAGAAGGGAGAGGAGGGAGGGAGAAGAAGGAAAGAAAGGAAAGAACAGACAATTAATTACATTTGTCTACACAATGGCTACTTTCACCAGAAATCCTTGCTCAGTGCTCATTTTTGTTCTTGAAATTAGCTGTTATTAATACCTTTATTTCAAACAGTGCCAGACAGTTACTGATGGTTGAAATGAATGTGCTCTTCAGTGTGGGAAAAGACCTGATCTTTAACTGTGGCCTAGCACATCAGTTTGGCACTTAGGAGAATAAAAACACAAGCTCTGAGCCACTTACTGAACATGGTTAGGGTTAATTTATTATGAACAGTCCTGGGAAAACAAAAAGGAGTACTACTCCCTAAAAAATAGGTCACTGCCCTTCTATTGATCTCAATTTAATGAGGTCAAGACCTAAATCTTGTACTTCTGTTTTAGCAAAAGTATGAATTCTATTTCAAGCAGCCTACCTAATGGAGAAAATGCAAACTTGACCAAAATACTAGTGGTCCTGTGCCAGAGAGACAATGAAAATTAATTTAATCAAGCAAGGACAGTATTGGCCCCCAAACAAAAGCTAGGCAGGAAAAGAGATGTTTTATTGCATCTAGTGTTACAGTTTGTATAAAGGAATTGATTATTGGCATAAAACACAATCTACTTATTCAACAAACCCAAGAACCAACCCAAAAAGGTCAAAACATGGAAAATGGTCTTTACAATTAATTCTTTATCCCACTGACAGGGTTTAGTGGTATATGGCCGGGGGCAGGGGATAGACTTGGCCTTTCCAAAGGGAATTTTGCAGTTTTCTAAAATCACTGAATGTAGTTGTGTAGGTAAGCCATTTGAAAAAAACGCTAGAAAGCAGCAGGTGCAAAGGACACCACCCGAAAAAGGTTACGTAATCATCATAGGGACTTCCCCATGAATCTAGCTTTGTGTACAAGCATATTTTTAATGCACATTGATGACAAATTAACCAAAAAAGAACAGTGACTGAGAAGTCCAACAACTTAGATTTTTCTCTTGCCTTTGAAACTAATTTCATTTTCTCTGGTGGGAGTAGCCTCCTCCATGAGGAAACAAAGGAAGAATTTCAGATGAGAGAAGTTGAGTGTGCTACTGTACAGGAAGGTGAGTATATATAATGAGAATATATTATAGGATTGAAAAATCCAAAAATCTAAAACAAAGTATTTTAGCCGGGCACCTGTGACTCACATCTGAAATCCTAACTACTCAGGAGGGTGAGATCTGACAATTACTGTTCAAAGCCACCCTGGGCAGGAAAGACTGTGAGACTTTTATCTCTAATTAATGAGCAAAGAGCCAGAAGTAGAGATGTGACTCAAATGGTAGATTGCTAGCCTTGAACAAAACTACTAAGGGACAGTGCCCGGGCCATGAGTCCAAGCCCTAGGACTGGAAACAAATATAAAAAAAAATTAGATACCGTATTTTGAATGTTTTTCACCATAAAAAAATACTGAATCTTAAAGAGAATTTTACCCTATGTTATGCACTACAAATAAAGCATTTGTGTACACACTGTACAGACTATATATTAAAAAAATCACTTGGTACCATAAGTAACATATAGTTTTTACATAACCATTAAAAATATAAATTTACTTCCCTACTATATCATATATTACTGAGTTTTGTTTTATTTTTTGCAAAATAAATGGATAAAAAGTCAAAACATTAAAAAAAGAAATTCTGATGGCTAATGAAGTTGAAATCATTAAAAATAATCATACAGCTTCCTATCGTCTTGGGTCTGATGGAGGAAATGGTCCCCATGAAACTTTCACAGACAACTGTAATCTTGTTAGCTCACAGGCGTCTGTAAGTTCCTCATCTCTTCTACAAAAGGGAAAGATCAAAAATCGGCACTACATCCTGCTAAGTCTAATAAAGTTAAAGACATCTTGGATGTGGGAATGATGTATTTCTTATGTGTTTTTTTAGACAACAATTTTCTCTCTCAGGGTTTTGGAAGGCTGAGGAGAACATTCCAGTAAGGCAGATAAGTCCCACCACAGGTGATTTACCTTCCAACTCTATCCTTGGAAAAACAAATCTAGAGACATGCCCAACAAAATACTTTTCTGAGAATGCTGACTTCAACCAGGCACCAATTGGCTCACACCTATAATCCTAGATCCTCGGGAAGTTGAGATCTGAGGATCACAGTTCAAAACCAGCCCAGGCAGGAAAGCCCATGAGACTCTTACCTCCAATTAACCACCGAAAACCCAGAAGTGGCGCTGTGGCTCAAGTGGTAGAGCGCTAGCCTTGAGCAGAAGAGCTCAGGAGCAGTGCTCTGGCCCTGAGTTCAAGTCCCATAACCTACCAAACAAACAAACAAAAAACATAAATCATGCCCTGAGCCAGGTGCTGCACATATCTGTAATCCTAGCTACTGTGGAGACAGATTGTGGTTGAAAGTCAGCTGGAGCAAAAAAAAAAGTCCATGAGATTCTCTCCAATTAACCCAAAAACAGTGGAGGGATGGCTCAAGCAGTAGAACACCAACCAGCATTGGATGGAAAAGCCAAGTGAGAATACAAGGCCCTAACTTTAAGCCACACTATGGGTACTTAAAGAAAAGAATGTAATTAAAAAAAAAAAAAGGAGTATAACCATGAGTCTTTTGCTCACTCAACAGAACTACTACTACTAATTACACGTTCTTTCCCACTAGAATTTAGTGGAAGGGATTTTACCTTGGTCTCTTCTCCAAAGTCATCTTCCTACTTTTCTTCCTCATTATCTCACTTATTTTTATAGCATCTCTCATTATTAAAATAATAGGTACCATCAAAACACTAAGTAGAATGTAAAACAAAAACAAGAAGTCAATGTACAGTGCATGGAACTTACTGAGATTTTTTGAAGGGAGATTTTGAGAGAAGACCACGTATCTAATCTTCTATCCACAATAATGGTAAATCGTGAGTCTGACCCATTTTGCCTACAAGATAAACAAAATTAATATTTTCCTTACTAATAGTACAAGTCCTCTATACACGTATATGTACGCATTTTATTTACATTTAATGCCTGACTAAAAACAGATTTGGATATAGAAACCTATTACAAAGTCCTCTATAGATATAGAAATTTATTACAAACAATACCATTCCTACCTAGGGCTTGAATTCCTAAGCACTGAAGCTAATTTTGCTCAAGGCTATCGCTCTACCACGTGAGCCACAGCTTCACTTCATTGGAGATGAGTCTCACAGACTTTCCTATGTGGGCTGGCTTCAAACTGTGATCCTGAAATCTCAGCCTCTTGAGTAGCTAGGATGACAGGATGAGCCACTGGTGCCCAGCTCTCAAAGGTCCTTTCTTAGAAAAATCTGTGTCTTCCTTCTTACTAGTCAAAATTCATTTCTGAATACTAATGTCAATTTTTTTAATACAAAAGTGACAGTGTAATAACAAGGTTAACAAAATAGATTTGAAATACTAAAATCTGGGAGAGGTCACCCCAAGTTAGCTATCCATTATAAAGTGCTCTAATTTCAAATTATTTTAATCTTAAGGCATTTCTCCTAGTGTCTGCCAATATAGTTATTGAGCCATTTAAGATCTAGTCCTAATTTATCCTTGGACAAAATAAAGAATAGCTATCCTCAGTCTTGGCTGGTAAGATTTACGTCTGGTCTTCATTAGCCTATGTTCTCTTCCATGACACCAAATACTTCCAGACCTCTACTTTTGTTTCCATAGAACCCCTGGATAATTTTTACAGCAACCCAGACAGTGTTCAGCTTTTCCTTCGGTTATAGTCAAATCGAAGCATCATCTATCATCATAATAGTAACAATAACAGCTATATTAAGTCATTTTTGTGTAAAGACACTCACATAG